GGGTGGGGGTGCCTGCTGGACCCCGCTGCAGGGACGGGCGTCTGCCATCCCCCCCGGGGTGACGGCACCTGGGCACGGATGGGCGGGTCTCTGCCGGGCTGCTTGGCCCCCGGCTGGCCAGGACGCTGCCCAAGACGCGGGGTGGGGCCGCTCCTGGCCAGGCCCCGCGCCTCGGAACCAGGCCGCCACAGACATCAGCGATCTCGCGTCTGAGAGACGCTAGTGAGGGGCCGTCTTTCCGCCCGCTTTCCCTGGGTTACGACCCTCTGAAGCGCGTTTCGGTCAAGTAGGTCAAGCTGCGTTGTGTCCTCGCGTGGAAGGTCACAGCCGCGAGGGGGGGCCGGAGGCTGCGGCCTGCGGCCTGTCCGGCCCCTTCCCTTGGCTCGCAGCCCCCGGGCTCCCCAGCTGGCCGTGGGGTAACTCCGGGGTTCTGTGTCGAGGGTAAGCTGGAGCGGAGGGTGAGCTCCTGGACGTCGCAGTGGGGGTCCTGTCGGGCTGGTGACCTGGCGCACCAGTCCCCTCGGCCCCATGGGAGACCTGGCCCTGGTGTGGCGCCCGAGCGGCCTGGGCAGTGCGGCGGCGGCCTCAGGCCGGGGGTGGGGGGCCCTGCCCGGCCGGGCGCCGCCTGCCATTTCCCGGACGGGTTAGCTGCAGCCCTGCTGGCTGCCGGCCCCTCGCCTCTGCCCTGCACGCTGCCGAGGGCCAGGAGGGCCAAGGCGCTCAACAGACCCTGGTGGGAAGCGAGGCCCGCCCAGGGGTACAGGGCGGCCTGCTGGCAGGGCTCGGGTGCTGTCTGGGCCCTGGGGCCCTGAGCCCGAACCTCGGCTGGCCAGACAGCAGGTCAGGCCAGCGGGGCCGGGGCTGCTCTGAGCCCTCTGCCCGGCCTCGGTCGCTGGCCGTGGGGCTCCCTGTGCGTTCTCCTCCAGGTACAGGCCCAGCCTCCCGCCCGGACGCCGGTTCCCAGGGGCTGCCCTGTGCTCCCCAGGCGTCGGCTTTGCCCAGGCCCAGCCGCCCACTGCCAGTGGTTCCACACCCACCTGCTCCCGGAGCAGGGATCATGCCCAGAGCCCCGCCCCCGCCTCGGCTGCCCCCGCTTCTCCGGGGTTCCCCAGGGGCCAGGCTTCTGGCGATGAAGGGAGCTTGCAGGCCTGGCTTGTTTCCCAGCGTCTGCACCCCTCCTTGGAGTCCCAGAACCCCACTGCTCCTTGAGACCCCACCGTTCGACTGTGACCCGTGACCCGCGCCCTCGCCCAGGCCCCAGGTCTGGTCCACAGGAGCCTCGCCCCCTGGAAACTGCAGGCTCAGGGCCCGCGGTGCCGGCGGGAGCCTCAGCCTGGCTTTGCCCTTCCTGGGGAGAGGCCCCCCCGCTGGGGTTGCCGAGCGGGGGCTGCAAAGCCAGATCCTGGAAGACTGTGCCAGCCAGCGAGGGGCGGCGAAGCCAGCCCAGTGGGCGCCGCAGCGGCAGCGGGGCCGGGGCCAGCCTGCCCGTCCCGGGGGCCCGGAGCAGCACCTGCAGATCTGCACCTCGTAGCCCAGCTCCAGGGGGTCGTTGGGGGCCGTGCCGCCCTGGAAGTCGCTGACGTTGAAGAAGGAGAGGGTGTGGTTGACGAAGCCGTGCATGGTCCCGTCCTTGCTGTACATGTAGAGGTACACCAGGCGGGGGATGAAGTCCGACGTGAAGGAGATCACGAACGCCTGCGGGCACACAGCGTGAGGGACCCGCGGGGCAGGGCGCTGGGCGGCCGGCGGCCCGAGAGCCTGAAGGACGGCGGGGCAGGGCCGGGCGGCCCGGGCACGGGGCGGGGCAGCAGGACGCCCCGGAACGGGGAGGGTGGGGAGCAGGCTGCTGCTGCGTGGCCCCGGAGCACCCCCTAACCGCTCTGAGCCTCTTTTCCTCTCATGCAAGGGGGCACACGCCCGCCCCGTGCCCTGGAGTCCCGCCTGGAGTGACCACGGCAGGCGGCACTTTGTACGCTGCGAAGTTCTGACGCTGCTCTCTGGGGCCAGCGGGCGGTGCCGGTAGGCCTGGGGGCCTGGAGCGGGCCAGCCCGCCGCCCCCTGGCGCCCTCCAGCCTCAGCCTCTCCCCTGTGAGACGGGGCAGCGACGGGCAGCGGCGGCCCCTCTGAGGCTGTGCCCACCGGTGGGTGGCCGTGGGCCAAGAGCTCGGAGGCCTGGGCCGTGGCCCGCCGCTACCGGCTGTTCTCACGGGGCGTCTGCTTTGCTCCTGCTGCCATAGCACCCCCATCGCTCCAGGGGGAGGCAACTAGCTTGGGGCTCCCAGGGCCCCCAATCAGAGGCCTGTACGTGTTCACCGGGTGGGGAGCAGGGGCGGTCACCGGCCAGGGTGCGTGCTCCGCCCACGCCTCCCTTGCAAAACCTCAGGTGGAGCGAGTCGGGGGTCGGGGCAGCTCCCCGGGGGCTGAGCGCCCCTCGTGCTGCGGCCATCGCAGGACGCAGACCCTGACCCGGCCCCCTGCCCACGCGGGCCCGAGGCCACCTGTGCCAGGGCCGCCCCGTGACCCACACAGAGCAAGGCGGAGGCTTCTGGGTGGAGGGTGAGGGTCCCTGGGAGGCCTGGGGTCTTGGAGCAGGGTGGGGGACTTCACCGGCTGACCCCCAGGGACAGGGAGGAGGCCGGGGGCAGGGGGCTGGCGCCGTGCGGCAGGCGGCCCAGGGAGCCCGGGGAGGGGCAGGGGCTGCGCCAGGCGAGCTGTGCGTGGGAGAGAGGGCGGGGAGGGGGTGCAGGCGGGCGCTCCCCCAGCCCGTTCAGCATCCCCACACGCGCTTCATGTAAGTGGAAAATGAACGTTAAGAGCAAGAGACCAGAACTAAGTCTCTGCTCTCCCTCCCGCTGGCCTGACCCCCGCCCCACCGTACCCCGCGGAGCCCAGGGGTGCGGCCGCTGCCCGCGAGCCGGGGAGCGTTTCCTGCAGGATGGGTGGGCCCATGCCCCAGCAGAGCGACCCAGCTGCACACGCGTCCCAGGTCCATCTACAGGCAGCCGCCTGCCGGGGCGGCCGTGGGGACCCCGCGTCACTCACGTTGATGATCACAGCCAGCTTGCCGATGCCTCTGAGGATGTTGTACCAGATTCCTGGGGAGGAGAGGCACAGTCTTGAGGTCCGCAGGCCCTGGGCTCCTGCTGACCACCTCAGGGCCGTCCATCCTTTGGGGCCCGGGCCCGACACCTGCTGACCAGTCCTGCCGGGAGCCAACGTCGGCTGCGCAGAGCCACGCTGAGCGGCGCGAGCCCGAGGGGTGCCAGCACGGTGGCACGGTGGACCCTAAGTGGCCGACACCCCTCCGGGGCCCAGGAAGCCGCCCTCCTAGACGGGGCCCTGCGTGGGTGCCGCCTGTGTCCCAAGGGCCGGCAGTGATATGGGAGCCCAGGGGGTGGCAGCCTCAGGCAGCTCCACACTGGGCCAGTGGGCAGGGCCGGGCCACGGGGCTCCAGAGGGCAGCTCAGCCTGGTCGGACACGGGCAAACCACCTCCTGCCCAACGCCGGCCTGTCCCCGGGGCCACAGCGCTGCACCTGATCACAGGTGAGCAGCGGGCACCACGGGTCCTCGGGAGCAGGAGTGTCCCCCACAGCCCCGCCTGGGTGACGCATCTGACCTGGGGGCCCAGGGTCGGCCCGAGACTCCCAGAAAGGGGCCCAGAGCCCAGCCCATCCCCACCCTAGCCCAGCCCCTCAGGTGAGCAGGCCAGGCGCCAGTCTGGGGGTGCTCTCCTGCCGGAGCCAGACCACATTGGAAGGCCTGGGGACAGCTGACAGGCAGCAGAGAGGCTGGTGTTTGCCCGGCAGAGGGCGCCCTGGGCCCTGCTTCAGGCCCGGCTCCGCGGCCCGAGGGTGTGTCTGCTCCCAGCCCCACCAGTGTCGGGTGGGGCAGGACCGGCAGACCCCGAGTGGGGCTGGGCGGAAGCGGGGCCGTTCTCAGCCGAGGCCAGTGCCCGGCCGGTCCACCTGCTCGCTGGCTCTGCCTGGTCTCAGCCTGCTCCTGCTGAGACGTGCGGGCTGCGCTGCGGCCTCGTGCGCACCCCAATGCCTTCCCTGGAGAAGGCACTTGGGATGCAGGTGAGCGCCAGAGGGTGCCCTAGGGGGCAATCCTTACAGTGTCCCCAAGGCCGCGGCCAGGAGCCCCCGAGCTGCGGGGAGGCTGCCGGCTGCACCCCTGCCTGTCTCCTGGCCCGCACGGCCCTGGCACACGGGTGCGGTGCGCTGGGCAACTGTTCGCCGAGCGACTGCATGGGCGTAGAAGACTTTCCACCAGGCTCTCCCCGAGGGGGCGGTGGCCACGGGTCGGGGCCCTCCACCCAGGCTCCGCAGGTCTCTGCTTCAAATGCTGATCGATGCTACACATCAGGGCGGTTTACTCTAAAAGCTGCCCTCTCACTTCCAAGACCCCGGCCCAGCCCAGGCAGGTGGCAGGGCGCCATGGCCGCAGCGCCCCCTGCAGGTCACCACGGGAAGTGACCGCACTATTCGTCCCACCCCAGATCACCACCAGTGCAGGTGCCAGACCATCCCCAGGAGCAGAACATCCCCGTGCGCCAGGAAAACCGGAATGAGCTAGCGCGGTGCGCGTGAGGCCACCCTGCGTGCTGCTCAGCCTGCGCGTGGCCCGGGCGAGGGTGAGACGGGCAGGCTGGCGTCCGGGCGGGGGCTCCCGGCCCCTGGGCTCGGCGCGCAGGGAAGGGCAGGGCCTGCGCAACGAGGAGCCGGCCGCGGGCCACGGGTGACCGCAGGGACGAGAGGCCAGTGGCACAGCGGTGGGAGGCGGCAGGGGACGGGGGCGTCCGAGCCTGGGCCCAGCTGCCTCAGGGCCGGGCAGAGTCCGGTGGCCCGGCCATGGCCTCTGTGAGCCGCACACCCGAATCCTGATGCTTTAAAAATGCCAAACCAGGGCCCTCCTTGGTGGCGCGGTGGGGTGAAGCGCAGCACTCCCCGGCCAGGGAGGGCCCAGGGCGCGGCTGACCCTCCTGTCTCCCCGCTGCCCCCTCAGCAGTGGGCTTTGTCGATCGGCTCCGTCTCTGGTGAGTCCTCTCACCCCCCTCATCTCTGGCCTGTACCCCAGTTCTGTATGCATAAATAAATAAGCCTTTAAAAATTAAAAAAGCCGAACCAGGAGCCCAGTCCTGGGTGGGCAGCTTCTCCCGGGTCCTGCGTCCCTCCCAGTTTTGAGAGGCCCAGCGTGGGGCCACTGCTCCGATGGCCTCTAGGGACAGGGGTCAGGGCGCCGTGGGTCTCCTTTAGGAGAACCTCGTGGGGACAGCTGCGTCCACGTCCCCACAGCCCGTGTGGGCTCACCGCCAAGGGAGCGCGGGAGGCCTGCTTGCCCCAGCTGGGGTGCCCGGGGCCCCGGAACACGCCCGAGCGCCTGGGGGCAAAGGCCAGGGCCGGGAGGCCACGGG